ATAGATTGACTACCACCTCTCGTTCTCCGAATCTTTCATCGAAACCAAACCAAATCAAACACCGAAAACGAATGAAATTAAAACAATTGATACGGTTATAATCTTAAATTCAAACCTGTTGAGAGAAGGCTTGTGATAAACTATTGTTACTCTCTCTTCTCAATGCAGTATCTCTTCTCTGTTGCAACATTGCTTTCACTTCTTCAATCGTGTGTGGTCTCTCATCCCAATCTTCCGCAATGCTACTTCCTTCTCTTGACTATACAAACAAACCAACATTGAAAAAAAATTGATCTTCTGTCTTAAATCAGAGCAACAATGGTGTCTGAAACAGAGCAATAATGGTGTGTTTGAAACTTATAGATCTAACCATGGATCTTCTGTCTGAAATGTCATGAAGATAACGAGGATCGAGAACACTGTGAGTGTCGCTGAATGCAGATTTACGACTACCATCGTGAGACAAACGTTTACGTTGGTCAAGAACACGAGATTGGACTCGAACCAGAGCTTGCATACATCTTAATGTCATTTTTGCTTGTTTTCTTACATTGTGACCTCTCACTAATGCTTGTAGCTTTACTAATCCTTTCAATGCTCTTAATGCTCTTCTTGCCTATTAAAAACACAAACCAAATTCAAAATCTTATTTAATTGTTTAATTATTTGTAATTAGGAAACATAATTTGTTCAACTCACCAGATAACCTCTGAAACCAGTTTGGATTACAATAGCTGCGTGATTTTCTCTCGCCGTGTAAGTCCGGGTTTTGAGATTTGGTAGCTCCGTTTTCGCCGGAGAAGCTTCTGTTATGGCGGAGACGGTGGTGGTTGCGGCGTATCTCTGTTCCGAAACAGAGGATGGAGCATTTGTGTTGATTGTCGCCGTTTCTGTAGATTTCACTTCTTTTCCGACGCCGGAGGATTTAACCGGAGAGTCATGATTCGTCGATTTTCTGAATAACCACCGTCTCTTCTCTCTCTTCTGTAGAAAGAAAGAAAAAACAGAGCATGTGATGTGAGTAAAAACAAAAAAACAAAATCTTTAGAGAAATGAAGCAACAAGAAGAAAACTAAAAAGATCTCGACTTTTAACGAAACTCACCTTGTCTTCGTCTTCTTCGACTTCAGTACCATGAGCA